CTAGTTCCTGCCCAAAAACAGAAAAGAAACTTTTCTCTGCAGATTTTGTCAAGGGGTTCTGCGGGCAGTTGCACTTTCAACTCTCATTTGCCCATTAGCAAATGGAAAAATTATAATCATGTGAACTATTTTTGTTTTGTTTTTTAAATGTTGAATGATGTAGCAGTGTAGGTAAAATCCTGCATTTGGAGGCCAGAACTGTAAAAGCCATTTTTGAAAGGAAGACAGTTCTCGACAATAAGCATCTTGATCTTGAAACCCTTGAGGAGCAGGGACAGAGCAGACAGTGCAGGAACAAGAACAGCAAAAGAAAATGAGCAAACCATACTGGAAAAGCAACCCTTGACCAGCCCCGCCGGCTCTGAGCCATGTGCCAGGTGGGGTCAGGGGAGAAGCTCTGGGTCCTGCCTGCTGTGTTCTGGCCGCAACCCCAAGCTGTCCCTGAGGGCTGTGCCCCAGAATCTGAGGACGTGAAAACATGGTTTTGAGCCCTCCTCTGGTGAGGAAGGGATTGGCAGACTCTCAGATCATGCCGAGGCTGCCCTTGTTTGCTGTTTCATGAATGTGTGTTTCGTGTGCATGTTGAAAGGAGCAAACTGTGTGTCGCCTATGAAACATGGGTTTGGTTCTTCAGAAGAAATCCTTCTGGAGTTCTCACAAAGCTCCAAGTTATCCAGAAGCCCCAGGGACCAAACACGCATTCTGGTTGGAACTGTGATACCCAGATGGGCCAGTCGTGGAAATGGAGCTCGTGGAAGGTGGCCTCGTGATGGCTGGTGGAGCAGGAAGGATGCCAGGCAGGGCCCCCTTGAATCAGCCTGGCCGGGAGAGGTGGGCAGGATTCAGTGAGGATATCTCACACTGCACTGAAATTAATACTTTATTTACACACATTCACACATATACAATACACCAAGAGACAGAAGAGGGAAAAAACTATGATAATTTGCTGTTTATGTGAGTTTCTACACGGATACAAAACACTCTTGTATGCAAAGTTCACAAGGCCCGGGCTCCTTCCCAGCGCACCTCTGCCCCGCCGGGCTTCACCTCGTGTCCTCACGGCAATGCGCTGGGCAGGGTGAGTCCCACATCGCTCTCAACAGCTGAAGGGGAGCTGCTTGTCTTGGCAGGACCTTGAGAGTTAATGACGCATGTAATAGTGTGTGGGGAAAGTGAGAGACGACGGAGGATCGTGCGGTACAAAAAAAGCAAAAATATGTGTTATAGAAATAGAATATTTTTTGCATCAAACTGAAGTCCTCCCTATCCTGAGAATTTCAGGACAACAACAAAGTCACAGGTCACATCCTGAAGGACACCCTGCCGGACTCTGGCTTTACCCCTCTTAGTACCCTGGGGTGGGGGTATCAATCTAGAAAGCCACCTATTGCAGGGCGTGTGTGTGTGTGTTTGTGTGTATTCATTAGTACTTGCAGTCACTGTGAAGACACCAACTGTTCTGAACAAGACTTTCCAATAATGAAGGGCGAGCTTGCCTGAAACAAACTAGAAAAACACCATAAAAGAAGAAAAGGGAAAGCATGCCCAGGAGAACCTCAAATGTCTTTTGTCCATATTGCTGTTTTCGTAAATCCGGGGTGAATAAAAAGCTGGCACTCTCCGGGTTTTGACTGGTCCTGGAATTCTTTTGTGGTGAGCACCACCTTGTGGTCTGCCTTTTGCATTTCCCAAGAACACGATGTCACGGTCCCAGGCTTGCTGAAACCTGGTTACCACACTCGGGCTGGCCTCTCCTCCCCAGCCTCCCACATCTGCTCCATCCCACCCTACCAGACCCTTCCCACTCGAGGGCTCAGACCCATCTCAGGCTTGCCCCAGTAGGCTTGTCCCACTTTCTGGAAATAAGACTGAACATTAAGTTGCTGGCCTGAGCCCAAGGCCCAGGTGTCTTATTACGGCTGCCGTGCCACTCACAGGGTCTCTCTGGGGCCACCCCTGGGGGACCATTGCCCTACACAGCGCCCACACACACAGTCCCTCCATATGCCCATTTTGCTCAAAATTTCTCTCTCCTCACTCCTACATCCCCCTTCAGCAACTTGCTGGGATTTTTTTTGGCATAATGTAGTGGGTCTGGCCAATCCCCAGAACAGGAACCTTCCCAGCAGCCCGCCACCCCTAGTCTACGATCACCGTCAACTTCAACCATAAACACCTGGAGCAAGGAAAGCGTTGCCCCACCCCCTGGGAAACTCCGCATCCCTCCACATAAGGACCCACCCTGCACCCGGGGGCACTGGAGGCGTCTCAGCCAAAGCGACTGCAGATGCTGGCGTAAATCCACGTCGGACAACCAAAGGTGCCTCGCGGAGCACCGCGATAAGCTCTGCCGAGGCCTGAAGCAAACAGGTAGAGCTGGGGTGTCATCCCAGAATAAAGCACAGTCAGAGAACAAGACGAGGAGAAGGAGGAAGGAACCAGAACGAGGTGGCTGCATGCACTGGGTGTAAGCAGGCACTTGGGCTCTTGGTGTTTAATTCATTCTCATAGTAAGCTTTGTGAACGACTATTTTCCCATTGTACAGATGAGGACACTGAGGCTCACGGAGGTTGAAAATGTGCTTGTTTATCTTGAATTTCCCTAACATGATCAGCTTGCTATAGGTACTCAAGTTCTACAAGCTTCTAACTCCTCCCATGTAAAGCAAGGCCCCCAGTTAGACGCATCTCTGGGCATCTTTCCTTGAACTCTCTTTGTTACCACCTGCTGGTCACAGAGCCAAGGAGGGCTGCACCCCCTTCTACCACGGCTGCAGATGCCCTCTGGGAGAACATTCGGGGCAGACTCCTGAGGACCCCAGCGTGTGGAGCACCTGTCCTTGCTGTGGCCAGGCTGTGCTCCATACCAAGGTAGGCAAACGCCCTGTCGCCCACGGGGCATCATACCTGGGAACCTGGGCACACGCGAAAACTGCTCCATCACGTTCTGCCCACAGCCCCCTCGCCAAAGGGCTCAGGCTATGGGCCACTTTGAGGCAGGCACAGCTTTCCCCTGTACCCCTGTGTGAATTTTTGATTGCTGTAACTAATTGCCATAAACGTTGTGGTTTAAAACAGCACAAGTTGATGCTATGTTCTGCAGGTCATTAGTTCAGTACAGATCTCATTGGACTAAAATCGAAGTATCGGCAAGTTGCATCCCTTCCCGGAGCTCTGGGGAAGGCCCGTCCCTGCTCCGTTAGGTTGCTGGTTGAACTCAGTTCCCTGGGTTCCCTGGGATTACAGACGTGTGCCACCACACCCCACTAATTTTTGTACTTTTAGTAGAAACTGGGTTTCGCCTTGTTGGCGAGGCTGGTCTCGAGCTCCTGGCCTCATGTGATCCACCCACCTCGGCCTCCCAACGTGTTGGGATTACAGGCATGAGTCACTATGCCTGGCCTCCAATGGACTAGTTTTGAAGGAATCTCAGGATTTGCAATCTGCTGGAAGGAATTACTAGTGTCATTAGGGACCTCCCTGAAATCGCACACAATGACAGCATGGCACACGCTGACCCCGACTGAGCTCACGATGGCAGTTGTTTTGGCTTGGCTTCTGTTTAGATGGGAAGCAACTCCCCGTGGCCCTTGGCTGAAGGTTCCTCCTGGAGTTGACCAGCACCCCCTGCAGGGGATGAACAAAGCTGACATCTCATCACCCCAGTTCACACACAGTTAAGCCCCACTGATCCTGGGATATAAGTAAAGGGGAGGCAGGACTACTTTGTTTAACTTCCCAGTCTCCTCTAATTGACTTGATGAAAAAATCCTGATGTTAAGCTCCCAGAAAAGGGTTTTCGGTGCTGAACTTGAACTGGGCACACCACCTACATCCTGTGTTCTGTGTTCACAAACACAGAACACATTCGTGTCTCATCTGTGCCTCATTTGTCTTTCCTTGCCCTTACTTCCACGTGAGAGCAGCCACTTGTGATCCTGTCCATTTAAAACAATATGATCACAGGCCTGGGGCGCCAGACGCTGGACACAGAAAAGAAAAAGACATGATAAATAATATTTAAAGCACTGCAAAGTTTGATTTTCATGTCTAATATCTGCCCCTGGAGATTCTGCTAAATGTCTTTTTCCCCTCTTCATAATCCTTACGATAACAACTTTATTTGGGAATTAATCCAGATTCCCATTATTCATTGAATTACACTTTCCCAGCATGTAAGTTCCTCCCTGGTTGTAAGTTACAAAGTCTTGGAAGCTACATTAACTCTCTCAGGCCGCTGGGATGACAGGAAGGTATTGCTAGTCCTCATGTTTCAGAATTGTTTCTGAAAAGCACTAATGTAGTTTTAAAGGGTTTCCAAATTAAAACTAGAGTGAAAATTGACCACTGGGAGAATCCTATTTATACTATTATATTATGGGGTGCTTTAAATACACTTCCGTCCAGCCTACTGCCATTGGCTCTAATATATAGAATGGGCGTCTATACAGAATGCGCATCCCTCTTGCAGTAGCACTGTGGAAGGGTTAAGCACCCACACTCTGAGGTCAAACTGTCCTGGTTGAAATCTTGACTCCATCCCTCACTAGTTGTGTGACCCCAGGTAAGTTACATAACCCCTCTGAGCCTTGGTTTCCTCATTTGTAAAGTGGAGAAAATAGCATCCACTTGATGGGGCTGCTGTAAAAGGATGAAGTAATATGGTGCAAGAGGTGCCGAGACTGCTGCTTGGCAAACAGTGGACATTTGCTGAGAGCTTGCTGTGCACCAGGCACTGTTCTATGTACTTTACATGCATTAATTCATTGAACTCGCTCAACAACCCAGAGGTTGGACATCATTATCCGTATTGCAGGCAGTGACCACTCTACAAATGTTGGTTGTCATCCGCTGATCTTGACTCCTAAAACGCATTCTCTTGGTAACTGCATCCACACTTAAGTTGGGAAACACCCCGCCCTGTCTCTAAGCCCAGTAATCGACTCCGGGCGGGGTTGATTACATGACCTAGATCTAAGCCAATCAGAGCATCTCACTACCCTCGCGGCAGTGATTGGTCCACGTGGGCACATGACACGGCCGGGGCTGGACTCCCCGGAAAGAGCCTCTCCCTCCTTCCTGCTGGACTAGCCTGAGAAGACGCGAGGCAGTCGCTGCTGCAGTACTGGGCGGAGGGCCTGTCTGAGGTGGAGCCAACCTCGAGGAAACTGGGTCAACCATGGACAAGGACACACGAGCTTTGTGACGTCATGTGAGCCCACGCAGGAAACCCGCCTGCAGCCGGGACCCTAGCTTAGCCCATAGCATGGGGGCTTCTCAGGGAAGCACTGGGGTGTAAGCTTCAGCCCCGAAATGCATCCCCACCCTTTTCCCCCTCCAGGCAGAGCAGAGACCACCGGGGCCTGCTTGCTGCGCAGTGGAGCCCATGTCTTCAAGGCCGGGCTAATCTTCACTGGCCTCTGGGCTCCTTCCAGCTCCACTGACAGAAAGAAAGCAGATTAGATTACCGGGCCAGGTAATCCTAAGGTTTAGAGACTCTTTTGAGGAACCTGCCACAAAGGCCAACCAGAATCCTTATTGCACAACCAGCTACTGACCTCCCTTTAGGAGAACAGGGCTCTAGGACAGGAACAATCACATTTAAATTCTGCAACGAGATTGCTACTTAATCAAACAGCAAGATCATCAAAATCCTATAATTGTATGCATAATGCCACTTTGGCCTACTCACTTTCTGTCAAGAACTTTATTTTCCAATCCCGTAATTAATATCAGTATCATATTCCATTGAAGACCATCTGTTTCACCAGAGCATGTTATCAATCATCTCAGATTTCAAAACTTCACCCTGGTTTGCCCCCTTGATAGGGAAGTGAAAACGTTACATCAACAGTCATCTAAGCTGGCATGTGTGTGGGTGGGCCGCAGGATTTGCTGGTGGATATCAGAAAAGTCATTTACCACAAAGTTCTGCTCACAGACTATTGCAAAAGAAGTAGCTCTAAAAGGAAGTTATTATGTTTGTAAAAACATGAGCACTTTTCTCTTCCTTTGGGCAAATGGAACAGTGTTTTACTATCCACCCAAATTATGTCACCAATGATTGGATTCTTCAAAGAATTCAAATCATGTGGAATGTTCCCAGAGCCTTCTGGGAAGGAAAACTAAATGTAGTCACCTTGACTTCACAGGCTGGAGGGCTGGGTGTGACAGGGCCCTTCAGAGAGCCTTGAGACAGAACCTCAGCAGACGGTGGCAGCTGAAGACCCTGGTCAGTTCCCAAATTGACCAGACACCTCCCATCAGTCCATTCCTGCCTGTGGATGGCCTCCCGAGAACCAACTTCCAATCACAAGGTCATTGTGGATGGTACAGAGTGGGAATGAAGGACTTATTTTTTATTTATTTATTTATTTATTTTTGAAACAGAGTCTCGCTCTGTCACCCAGGCTGGAGTGCAGTGGTGTGATCTCAACTCACTGCAGCCTCTGCCTCCTGGGTTCAAGTGATTCTCCTGCCTCAGCCTCCTGAGTAGCTGGGATTACAGGCACATGCCACAATGCCCAGCTAATTTTTGTATTTTTAGTAGAGACAGGGTTTCACCATGTTGGCCAGGTTGGTCTCAGTCTCCTGACCTCATGATCTGCCCACCTCGGCCTCCCAAAGTGCTGGGATTACAGGTGTGAGCCATCATGCCCAGCCAGGCCTTACATAATCTTAAAGGCCCCCACCACATTCCTCACCCCTGGCCAGGAGAGTCAGGGGCTTTTCTGTTTTCCCTCTGGGTTAGACTTGCCAAAGAGACCATGTTTTCAATGTCCTTGACCATGATACCTCCAAGACATTCTTGGATGAGTTGAGGCTCAGAAAACAGTACCTCAAAAATATGGCACTTTCGTATGCTGAGGGTTTTTGAGTTAAAGGAAATTAAAAGGCTTCAGAAATAAGCTTTGGAACTAAGGTCTCTCTCCAGTCTCCCTTCATCCCCCTGTCTAGTCTATCTGATCCTCTTTCTTTCCTGAAGCACCAGGAGGGAATTTCTCTGTCTGAATAAGTTTTGCCACTGTACCTGGCCAGAAATGTAATTTAGATACCCTTCCTAGGAATCTCATCAAATAACCAGGAAAGATTAACTACTGGAGAAGAGAAGAGACTGGAATCATCACCATGCCAGACAGACTTTTCATCTGTTCTTCTGAGGACAGCTCCAAGAGATTACCTGGGAGACTTTATCTGCGAAAAAGACAACCTTTGTTCACAGTGTGGTTCTGCCCCTCACCCTCCTGCCACCTGCCCCAGAACTCAGAGGAACTTTGTCCCAGGCTATTATCTATTCTTTGGGCTCACTCATTTTCCTTAGAAATCATTTACTACCTCTCTAAAATGTCCTACAGTCCGCCACTTCCCTGTCCCTTATGTAGAGGGTATATAAGCCTCAACCATCTGGCCCTTCTTTGAGTCTCCTATTTGTAGGGCTTCCATGGCCATATGCACCGTAATAAATGTGTAAGCCATTTTTCTCCTATGAATCTGTCTATTGTCAGTCATTTCAGTGAAACTTCACAGAGGGTGGAAGGAACACTTTCTCTCTACCCCTACAGATGCACTGGCCATATTCCATATCTTTCTTCATCTTTCATATAATATCTGAGAGAGAAGGTAGAAGTTGTCAGTCCTTCTAGAGACTAGTTTTCTCAAAGAACTGAATTCACTTCTACATTCTGCTGGGCAAAGTAAAATGCAAGGTCAGCTCAGGTTCTCGATGTGATTGGCTGCACGTGCACAGGGCACCATCTTTGGAGTCAATTTTTCACAGCTGATGATGATATTGTTCACTCCTTTTTAAAGCTGTATAGCACTCTATTGAGAGACTGTGCCGTGGTTCAACCAATCTTCTATGTCTCAGCAATTAGACTGTTTTCAATTACATATAATGCCTTAGTGAATACAATTGTGATTGCTATTTTTGAGAAGAGGATTGTTGGGCCAAAGGGCAAATATATGTTACCTGAGGCTGCTGTAACAGAGTGCCACAAACTTTGTGGTTAAAAATAACAGAAACTTATTCTCTCACAGCTCTGGAGGCTAGAATTCCAAAGTCAAGGAGTCAGCCAGGTTGTACTCTCCAGGAAGTTTACAGGGAAGAATCCTTCCTTGCTTGTTCCAGTCTCTGGTGTTGCCAGCAATCCTTGGCATTCCTTGGCTTGTAGATGCATCACTCCATCCTCTGCCCCTGTCATCACATGAACATCTCCCCGTGTGTCTGTGTCTGTTCTTTAATTCCTATAACAACACCAGTCATATTGGGCTTAATATCCGCCCTAATTCAGTATGACCTCATCTTAACTTGATTACTTCTGCAAAGACCCTATAAGTAAATGAGGTTACATTCATAGGTTCCAGGTGAGCTTGAAGTTGGGCGGAAACACTCTTCAACCTCTTACAGGAAATGCATGCATACGGTGGTTATATGGTGTCAGGCTCCCCTTCATGGAATAGTACCATGTTGCTCTCCCCCAAGGATGAAAGGGAACAGCTTTGTCCCCAGAGCCATAGCAATGCAGCTTGTGGTCAAGCTTTTGAATTTTTGCCAGTCTGATATCTGAAAACCAACATCTCTGTCTTTTATTTTTTGTTTTGGATAAAGATGAGCATTTTTTTCTTACATATTCATTTGTCCATTGGTGGGGGAAAACCTGTTCATGTGTTTGTCCATCTTTCTAGTGGGTTTTTTGGTCTATTTTCCTCAGTTTTTTAATATAGAATTTGTATGGGATTTTCTATTAATCCGTTTCTGTTGTTCATTTTTATGTGATGTTGTTTCATTGACCATTTAGAAAGAATCATGGCTCACCAACTCTTCTGACTCCACAGAGCTCCCTCTGCTGTGCATTTTTGTGGTGTGTTTTAAAAACATGGCAGCTTGGCTTCAGAAACTTCCTGGCTGTTTCCTTCTTCCAGCCAAATCTGAACCTTCTCTTTCCTGTTTCTCAACTGCCTCTTTTCTTCAAACTGTTTATTCCACCCCTAGATGTTTCTTCTGGGCATGGAGCCCTGTCCTGGAAGAAAGCCCTGGTAGGTACTTTTGAGGATCAATAAGGTCTAGACAGCCCTGGTCCCTTCAAACTTTAGCAGCGACAACTGCGATCACTGCTACTAAAGTTGGCAATGCCCCTCTCAGCTTCAGCTATTGTGCTCAGATCATCTTTCTATGCTTTATGGTGAAAACTTTTGGCTACCTTGGGGTTCTCCCCTTCTCGGTCCTATTGCTTTCTTATGTTATTTCTTGCACAGACACACAAACTTACAAGTCTTCAGGCTGTTAATGGTTTATTCCCATCTACTTATATTTTGATGTTCCTAAGAATGCCTTGTGACCTAGCTTTATTGTTTGTATCATCCATGGCTTTCTGATTCTGTATCTAGGTTTCTATCTATTCTTATGGGGGGATTCAGGGAGTTTCAAAAACTATGCTATCATCAGCATGGTAGTTCCTCACTTGTCTTTCCTCATCTTTAAGAATTCTTTATTAGTGAAATTAACCCAGTGTCTCTGATACACACTGCAGCTACTTTCCACTGTTTTTAAAAGCAGTAGCTATGGCATTTTTTTGGCATACATAGGTGCTATGGTTTGAATATTTGTCCTCTCCAAACTCACATTAAAACTTAATCCCTAATGTGGCAGTACTGAGAAGTGGGGCCTTTAAGAGATGATTGGGTCATTAAGGCTCTTCCTTCTTAAATAGATTGATCCATTCATGGATTAATGGCTTAATGGTGACTTTATAAGAAGAAGAGGAAAAACCTGAGCTAGCACACTCAGCCCCATCACCATGTGATGTCCTGTCCCAACCTGGGCCTCTGCAGAAAGTCTCCAACAGCAAGAAGGCCCTCATAAGATGCAGCCCCTTGACCTTCGACTTCTCAGCCTCCATAACCATAAGAAATAAATTTCTTTTCTTTAAAAACTACCCAGTTTCAGGTATTCTGTTATAGACAACAGAAAATGAACTAAGACAATAGATTTCTTTGCAATGTTTATGTGTCCAATTTTGTCCGTTTTTTCTTTCTTGGCATCTCATCTGGATTTTTTGAGTCATAATGAGAAAGCTTTTCCCCATAGGTGAACTCACTCATGTTGCCTCCAAGTGCTTGTTTGATGTCATCTTTTACACTTACATTTCTAATTCATTTAGAGTTTATTGTGTATCATGTGAGATATGTTTATTTAATTTTCTCTGTGTCATTTATCAAAAAGCCAATCACTTTTCCAGCACTTGAAATGTCATCTTTATCATATATTAAATTTCCATATGTACTTGAGTTATTTCTAGACTTTCTATTCTGTTCCATTGATGTGTCTCTCTAGTCATGCACAAATAACATAAGGTTTATTTTTTAAATGCTTTCATTTTTAAACATTCATTATGAAATATAAAAAGACACACAAAAAAGTTCAAAGAGTAAGACAATGATGACCCATGTACCTATCACCTAATTTAGGGAAGAAATAATTACCACCACAGCTGAAACCTTGGTAAACCAAAACTAAAATTCTAAGCCCCCCAACTGACTGAATTGAATCCCCCTCTCAGCTCAGGGCACTCCAAAGTAAACCTGAATAACTGGTTCAGGCCATAATGGGAAGGAGGTTCAGACATGCCAGATTACATTCTCCTCCCTTTGGAATTCAGGCACAACTAGCCAGCATTAACATTAAAACAGGAATATTAAGATAGAAAAAACAGACTCTTTGTAGCAATAAAATAACCTGACTCTAGTATACCATCACATGACAGATAGCAGGCACTGAAAGAAATCAAAGCATTTTACCCCAAAGTATATTCCTTTGACATATTTTTAATAGCCCTGGAAAGCTGTTTCATGTGGGAAAAATCTACATTCTATACAGAATCATCTCCCCTTTTCAGATCTTTTCCTGATCCAGGAGAGAATTAACTAAGAGTTTGCACCTTTTAAGGCCTAATAAGAGACATATACCATCTATTCTCCATAATAAGAACCTTGATCTCCACAGCTCCTTATCTTAACCTGGTTACTGCTTTCTGTTGATTCCAGGTCTTTAGGTAATATAATAATCAATTGCCAATCAGAAAATCTTTTCATCTATGTATGACCTATAAGCACACCCCCACCGAGCTTTGAGTTGTCCTACTTTTCCAGACCAAACAAATGCATATCTTACCTGTATTGATTGATGTCTCATGTTTTTCTAAAATGTATAAAACCCAACCACTTTGGACCCATGTTCTCAGGACCTCCTGGGGCTGTGTCACAGGTCATGATCCTCACATTTGGCTCAGAATAAATCTCTTCAAATATTTTACAGAGTTTGACTCTTTTTCATCAGCACCATTTTGTGTACCCTTCCCCCAGAATATCAGCAGAAATACTGCTGGGGAAGCGTACAATGAATCCTACCAACAACCATATATGTGATCTTGGAAAGGGATCCTTCCCCAGTTGAGCCTTGAGATGAGACCACAGTCCCAGACAACACCTTAATCACAGCCTCGTGAGTGACTCTGATAGAACACAACTAAGGTACACAAGGATTCCTGAACCGCAAAAAGCATCAGATAACCTATGTCTGTTGTATTAATCTGCTAAGTTTTGGGATTGATATGCAATCTTAATTGACATAGAAATAGACTAGTAAATTCTAGAAAACCCCAAGAGAACTAAAGGAATTCCTCAAGGCAATATGTTTCACTCCAGTGTGAGGGCTGAATGTATTTGCCACTGTATCCCAGCAGTTAGTAAAGTGTCTGGCACTCAGTAGGTGCTTAATAAGAAAATGGCTCCTGGAAAGAGAAGAACAGACATGGGTGGGAATGAGTAGAACCTGGAATGGGGAAGTAGGCAGAGTGCATCCCAGTGTGGAGGCCATTTGAAATTGAAAGGGTTATCAGGAAGAACATGGATTCACAGTGTGGCCTCAGATATTCTGCTGCGACTGGGTATAAAGTCATTTCCAGGCTGCCTCTGGCACTGATTCCCAGGAGTTTGGGCATAACTGGGGTGAACACTCATTGGTGCTGTGGGGCCTCCTCAATCTGTGCAATGCTGCTGAGAACATGGGCTTTGGAGTCAGAGAGCCCTGAGTTTAAATCCCTGAGAGTTGTGTGGCCTTGGGATAGTTATCTGACTTCTCTGAGCCTCGGTTCTTCATTTGGTGTCATGAGTATTGCAGATGAATCAAATGAGGTAGCTTAGTAAATGGTCATTCAAATCCAGCCAAATCCAGTTTAAAAAGCATCCTCAACTCTTATCAGACAGGTATCTCCCAAGATATGCAACAGCCTCAAGCTGGTTCCTGTCGGCCCCTCCTATGGCCATGGAGGTTTTCTATAGAGGCCAGAGACTCAGTACCCCTGGGGCTCACACGCCCCTTTGAGAAGGCCATGAATGCTGTGGAAAGTGATGATGAACAAAAAATCTTTCCCCTGGCGTTTCTGTAGGGACTGGACTGTGCTCCCTGCAGAACGCCCTTCCCAATGCAAAG